GGGCTCCCTGCTCAGCAGGGAATCTGCTTCTCCCTCTGCCCTACCAGTCCCCGAAACTCATACTCTCTCTCACTTGCGCCCTCGCTCAAGTGAATAAATAAAATCTTAAAAAAAAAAAAAAAAAGAATTCCTGACTATTCTACTGCTAAAGCAAAAAGAGTGTCTCATTTCCTTATTCCTATTAACTAGCCAAGGCTCAGAAAGAAAAGGGATTACCTTAGCTATGGAGTAAGATATGTTCCAACAGATCATATTAGTAATTTTAGTTCATTCCTACTCTTGGAAGTCTGAATGTGTAGAAAAGGAGAATTATAAATTACAGAACTGCCCATTCTCCGCTCTACATGAAACAACAGTGGATCCACAAGCAGGAATTAAGAACACTGTAACAAACATATGTGCAGAATAGGGGGTCAACCTTTTAAGAAAATCCTGAATTACAGATGTCCATATTTGCAAAGAGAAAATCAGATTTTTTAAATGGGCGGGGGGGGGTGGGGGGCACCTGGGTGGCTCTGTTGATAAAGTGTCTGACTCCTGATTTCAGGTCAGGTCATGACTCAGAGTTGTGAGATCGGGTCTGGAGTAACCTTCCCTCTGAGGGTGGAGTCTGCTTAAGATTCCTTTTTTTTTTTAATTTTTATTTATATTTTCAATTTCTTTTCAGTGTTGCAGAATTCATTGTTTATGCACCACACCCAGTGCTCTATGCAATATGTGCCCTCCTTAATACCCACCACTAGGCTCACCCAACCTCCCACCCCCGGCCCCTGAAAAACCCAGAGTCCAGTCTCTCATGGTTCATCTCCCCCTCCAATTTCCCCCAACTCCCTTCTCCTCTCCATCTCCCCATGTCCTCTGTGTTATTTTCTGCTTAAGATTCTCTCTCCCTCTGGGGCGCCTGGGTGGCTCAGTGGGTTAAAGCCTGTGTCTTCAGCTCAGGTCATGATCCCAGGGTCCTGGGATCGAGCCCCACATCAGGCTCTCTGCTCAGCGGGGAGCCTGCTTCCTCCTCTCTCTCTCTCTGCCTGCCTCTCTGCCTACGTGTGATCTGTCATATAATAAATAAAATCTTAAAAAAAAAAAAAAGTTAAAAAAAAAAAAAAAAAACAATTCTCTCTCCCTCTACCCTCCCCCTTCCTGGGACACACAGGTGCATGTGCTCTCTTCCTCTCCAAAAAAAAAAAAATTAAAGAGAACAAATAAAGAAGAAATAATTTTGGGGCGTGGGGCTGAGAATTAACCAACAGCAAAGTATGTGGGCCCTTCAGTGACACACTTAACAAGGCCTTACCTTTCCTTAAGTTAATTTTCCAGGGGGCTCTAGGGAGACTCACTAGATAGGGTACATCTGAAAAACCTGCAATGAGCCAATTATTAACAAACCAGGAAAGCATTCATTCATACAACTAACATTCACTCAGCAATCACTTTGTGTCCAGTACCAATGGACGCCCCAGGGATACAGCAATAAACAGGTCATCAAACTGCCACCAAAAAAGGCCACCTCTCACTGCTGTTTCTACTCTCCAGACAGGTTTTTAAGCCCTTTCCTTTTTTTTTTTTTTTTTTTAAAGAGGGTACCAACATAAGGAAGAAAACAGTAACATTTTCTTTATATCCATAGGATTTTTGTTTTTGTTGGGAGAAAGAAGTGGGCTATGTTCCTTTGTCTGGCAAGAGAAGAAAAGAAATTCCTCATCCCACTCCCCCTTTTTCTCCATCCTGCATTTACCAAAAACATCTTGCTATCTCTGGATATTTTCAGGAGTCCTACAAACTGAATTTTCCTGGCTTTTTCACCAAGTGGTTCAACACCAAAAAAAAAAAAAAAAAAAAAAAAATTACTATTATCAATAATAGATCCTTATGGCAACATCTCTTTCCACCTTTCTAGAGAAAGGATAAATTTCACTTTTATGCTTTGTTAGAAATGCCTATCTTATTCTTAAAATCACCAGCATAATAAAATGAAAAAGGCAGGGATGGCTGGCTCTTGATCTCAGGGTCAGGACTTCAACCGGAATTTAACACACTCATTCAGTCAATTTAACCAAAATGCTCACAAAAATTCAGTTTCAGGGGCACCTGGGTGGCTCAGTGGGTTAAGCCACTGCCTTTGGCTCAGGTCATGATCTCAGGGTCCTGGGATCCAGCCCTAGCATAGGGCTCTCTGCAGAGCAGGGAGCCTGCTTCCCCCCGCCCCCCCGCCCCGTACCCCTCCACCTGACCACCTGTGATCTCTGTCACATAAATAAGTAAAATCTTAAAAAAAAAAAAAAAAATTCAGTTTCAAACGCTGTGGCCACCTGGCAAATACGTCCCGTAACTCAGCACCTTGCGTGTATTATGTTAGGAGGGGGAATACACAGGCAATAAGGCTTCAGAATATAGAGAACAAGTCCTTCAAGTGAAGAACTAGGTCTTACTGTCCTGACTTTCACTACAATACTCCAAAATACATATTAATGTTAAGCTAATTCTAAAAGTGAAAGAAGTTACATTATATAATATATATGCTAGATTAATGAACAGAAACACTGTATAACTCAACCCTGGGGTGGGGGGAGGTGGTTTTTTTTTTTTAATTATTTATTTATTTATTTGACACAGAGAGAGAGAGATCACAAGTAGGCAGAGACACAGGCAGAGAGAGAGGAAGGGAAGCAGGCTCTCCGCTGAGCAGAGAGCCCGATGAAGGGCTGGATCCCAGGACCCTGGGATCAAGACCTGAGCCGAAGGCAGAGGCTTCAACCCACTGAGCCACCCAGGCGCTCCGAGGTTTTATTTTTTTAAAGCACTAACACTTTCTCCCGAAATTCTAACCTGGATATTCTGGCCCTCGTGAAGGACTGACACACACCTGGACAATCTGAGAACCAGCAAGTTTTCTGGAGAAGAGCCACCTCTGGAATCAACTTCAGATGAGTGCAACCACCTCTGTCATGTTCTAGTCAAATGGTGACAGCAACAGAAGTGGCAGGAGAAAATATAAAGTAGAGAAAGACAGGAGAGGCCAAAAGAAGAACCAAGTGAGAGAAGCACAAGGAAAAGCAACTCTTCTCTAACCGACAGAGAGGAAGAGTATTTAATTCTGCCTTCCAAACCTTAGAGCAAACTCATGCCTTTTAAATACACTCTACTGAGGTGCCTGGGTGGCTCAGGGTAAGCCTCTGCATTCAGCTCAGGTCATGATCCCAGGGTCCTGGGATCAAGCCCTGCATTGGGCTCTCTGCTCAGCAGGGAGCCTGCTCCCCCCCCACCCCCGCCTACTTGTGAGCTGTCAAATAAATTAAAATCTTTAAAAAATAAAAAAATAAAGTACACTCTACCGAAAATAGAGTATCAGTTGCTACGAACTGTTTGTGGAACCCCACTCCAAAACTTGTATGAGGAAGCCCTCAATGCCAAAGGATTTGGAGGTGGGTCCTCTGGGAGGTAAGGAATGAGGCCATGAGGGCGGCCCCCACGATGGGATCAGTGTCCTTGTAAGTGGAAGAAATCTAGCCCTTTCTTCATGGGAGGTCACTGCAAGGAGTCAGCGGTCTCCAAGCCAAGGAGTCCTTGCCAAAACCGAAGCCACCAGCTAGGCACCGAGATCCACCTCCAGCCTCCAGAACTAAGAGAAATATGTGTGTTTAAGTCACCTGTCTATGGTATTTGTTACAGCAGCCCAAGCTAAGCCATCGCTCAAAGTGACTAGTAAATAGTGCAGCCCTAAGCCTTAGAAACAATAAAGGGCAGACTGCCGCCCCGAACTTCACTCAGAATTACCTGCTACTGAATAAGGGCACTTGACTTTTCACTCTCGCCTTTCACTGTCCCCTGTCCCCCCTCTTCCGGTTTGGGAGTTAAGAGGTTGAAAAAATTAGAACTTTCGAATCATAAAAAGAAATTTGACCTCAGAAAGTGGTTAAATAAACTTAAAAGGTCTGGCGAGGAAACCCTGACACATTACTCAGTCCTCACCCCTCCCATAACTCATCATCCGGCCCTGAACGATTTTCCTTGCCTCCAGCCTCCAGGACGAAGTCTAATAGCAATGGTCTGGTGAGCGCCTGTTGTTGAAGAGCAACCAATTTGTTCCGTTACAGCCTCGCACTAATCCGATGCGAGCACCGCCGGGCTGGCAGGGCTTCCTGGTGCGGCTCCCAAGGCCAAGAGGCCGCGGGTTCACGCGCGGGACTCAGAAGTCCACCCCAAGTGGCCCGTTTCGGGAAAGCCTTCCAAGAAAACACGGTCGGTCCGGGTCGGCCAAACCGGCCCAAGTTCCCTTCTCATCTTTTCCCAAGTCCTAACTTCCCACGGCACGCTTCCTCCAAAAAAGGAAGAAGCCGGTCTAAGGCTCAGCTCTCGCCGGCTGGTATTTACCTAGCACCGGAACTTGTTTGCAAACACTGAAGGCACTCATAACCTTGACTTCGCAGGAAACGCACCACCTTGCCTCCCGCAACCGAGACCTGGGAGCGCCTGCTGTCGCCCCCGCCCCCACCACCAAGGTGCTGGACCCGTAGGGTAGCGGAGGTAGCAGGTCACCAAAACCACCCCGTAGTCCCCAAGCCACTCGGGAGTTCCCTGCCCGTGGGCCGACTCCCAGTGGAGGCCGGGGCCAGGACCCCGACCACGGACAGCCGCGGAGCAGAGGAAACGCCGGGAGTGGCCGGGGACGCCTCCACGCTCTCAGAACTGCTCTCCCGCAGCCCGAAGCAGGGCGGCAGAGGCCATCCGGCGCCGAAGGCAGGAGCAGGCCCTCGGCCTCCCGCCCTCCCGCCCTTGCACCTCCTTCCCTCACCCTGGCCGCCCCCTGCGCACGCCCGCACGCCCACGTGCACGACCTCCAGGCATGACCCCGGGATCCCAAAAGCCAGAAGCCCCTTCTCAGGCGCCCCCCTCCTCCTTCCCCTCGGGCATGCCCGGCGCGCCCCACAGATACACGTGGATTCGGGAATCCCGGGGGCTGTGGACCGCCGCTGCGGCGCCCTGCCGCGCCTGCCACTCACTTGCTGGCCGGCGCGGGGCTTGCCCTGGGGCGCTCTCCTGAAAAAGGAGGTCCTGGCGGTGAAGAAGAAGTCCTCGGCGTCCTCCTCCAGGCTGCTGTAGCCGCTGCTCATGCTGCTGGTCCCGTCGCGCGTGGGCCGCCTCCCCGCCACGCGCAGGCGGCCAGGCAGGGGGTGCCGCGCCCGCCCGCCCCGCGAGGTTCCCGGCGCGCGGCCCCGAGCCGCCGGCGGGCCGTCCTGCTGCAGCTGCGGCCGCCGCTCACTCCGGCCCTCCCGGCCCCTCCCGCCGCCTCCCCACCGGCCTCCAGGCGCGGCTTTAGCCTCCGAGCGCCTCGCGACCCCGCCTCCCGGGGCCCCGCCCTGCCCCGTGTGCCCCTCCCCGGGAGGCTCGGGGCTGGGCCCACGCGGTCCGGGCACTCCCCGCGCGGCCGCAGGTGGGGGTGGTGCGGCCGGCCCTCCCCGGCGCCTGCTCGTTCCCAGCGGAGTCTGCTGCCCAGAACGCCCACTTCGACGACTGCGTCGGGCCGGGCTGTGCCCCGGGGCGCTCCCCCAGCCTCCCGGAAACTGCCTGGTCCTCTGTGATCCGGCTACCCGCCCCCCGCTCCGCTGCTCGGGTTTTGGGGAGGACCCGAGCAGAACAGGGAACTTTCGCCGCTGCCCCCTCCTTGCTTGCCCCTCCCGGGAGTCCAGCGGGCAGCAGTGGAGATCGCCCCGCCGAGGAGTCCCCAGCCCGTCGGGCCTCTGGCGGCCGTTTCCCTTCGTCCCGAACCCCAGCATCTCGCCCCTCCAGAAGGGCTAAAAGTTAGGGGAGAGGAGTGGGGAGGTAACAACTGGGTAGAGTTTATTCAAATGAAAACATCCTTTCTGGTAATTCAGTTGAGCTGCCCTCTCCGCTTCTCTCTAGCGGAGGTTCTTTCTCAGATAAGGACGGCCAAGGTCGTTATGATCTTAGAGGCCCCTTGGTGAAGGGGGTGAGGGGTGAAATCGTTCTACGGTTCCAGAACTTATTAATGAAATGTGCGTTTTCCACGTCCCCTCCCACAAGTCCTACAAGGCATGGTTTCTGTGTCGGGGTGATGGGTTCAGAGAATTCTATTCACCCTCCTACCAAAAAAAAAAAAAAAACACCAAAAAAACATATTTTCTGAAATCCTTCCGGTTAATCCTTTTTTAGAATGCAATTTTTTTTTGCAAGTCGCCTGTGGGTACCAGTCATTTACACCTTGGTGTTACTGAACTGATTTAAATCATACTAGTTTCCTTGCAGAGATCCTGACCGAAAGGAGGTTGTTTCGAAGGTTCACCGTCACTGCTGAGGTGAGCAGGCTTTAGAAGAGGTTTCATTTAAAAGAGGAAGACAAGGGTTAGAAAAGAGAATTTTACCCAAGGAAAAAAAAATTTTTTTCACCCATTATCGCTAAACTTTCTATGCAAGAAAGAGAGATAATGCATATTTCCTTTAAACCTCAAAACGACTCCAAAGTGGTTAGTACTGATGTATGCTCAGTTTACACCCAGAAGAGCTGTTTAAAGAGAAAAGTAGCTGTAGGTGGTAGGGCTGGGCCGTTCTGATTTGCTTTCTGTTTATCTGAAGGTCTGCAGAGAGCCTTCGAGGTCTCTGACTGGTTGGTCCCCAGTCAGCTGTGCCGGTTTGTGCGCTAGTGGAGGGGAGAGCTGGCTTTTGAGCCAACCCACCCCCAGGCCGAAGGAAGGCTTGCAAACCTGCTCCACCTTCAGGCTTATCCCACTAGCTTGCAAAGCTGTGCATTACCCTGAGTGATTCACCCCTGCAAGAGGCAGGCCTCAGAGTTAAGCCCATTTTACAGATGTTGCAATATTAAAGCCTTCTTCCCAGCCACACAGCTACTGAATAATTAGAAACCAGGAATTCTAATTCCATAGTGTTTTACCCGGTCTAAACTGATCACTGCTGCGGGGCACATAACCCAATTTAAGAGAATAAGACAATTTACTTACTTTATGATAGACTTGTCATTTGGTTTCTGTTGTTACATTAACCTAATCTTTATTAAATACCTCCATTTTAAGGATAATGTATAGAAAAAAAGGGTAATATATAGGTTAAAGAATTTAAGTAATTTGTTTTATTGTGGATGGGAAAAGGGAAGTAACCCAACCTGAGCTCAAGTTTCTTAATACCTGCAAGAAAAATATTAAAATGAAAAATACCTTAAAGTTTTTTATGGGGCGCCTGGATGGCTCAGTTGGTTAAGAGTTGGTGGTCACCTCAGGTCACGATCCCAGGGTCCTGGGATAAGCCCTAAACCGGGCTCCCTGCTTAGCAGGCAGTCGGCTTCTCCCTCTACTCCTCCCCCTGCTTGTGCTCTCTCTTGCTCTCAAATAAATGAAAATAAATAAAAACTTTTAAAAAGTCTTTATAGGAGCGCCTGGGTGGCTCAGTCGTTAGGCATCTGCCTTCAGCTCAGGTCATGATCCAGGAGTCCTGGGATTGGGCCCACATTGGGCTTCCGGCCCGGCGGGAAGCCTGCTTCTCTCCCTCTCCCACTCTACCTGCTTGTGTACCCTCTCTCACTGTCTCTGTCAAATAAATAAATAAAATCTTTTTTAAAAAAATCTTTATAAATAAATAGTGTTTTTTTATGATCCAACATTTTTTATGATCCACCATACCATAAAAAGGATTTTATTCATATTATTTTTAAGCTCCAAAGGACTAGATGTTTATATCTGTAAGCACACCATCAGAATCAGTTTTAATAAAAAGGCATAACTGGGGGGCGCCTGGGTGGCTCAGTGGGTTAAGCCGCTGCCTTCGGCTCGGGTCATGATTCAGGATCCTGGATCGAGCCCCGCATCGGGCTCTCTGCTCAGCAGGGAGCCTGCTTCCTTCTCTCTCTCTGTCTGCCTCTGCTTGCTTGTGATCTCTCTCTGTCAGATAAATAAATAAAATCTTTAAAAAAAAAAAAGGCATAACTGAAATAAAATAAAATAAAAATAAAAAGGCATAAGTGAATAATGAAGTAGAAGTGCTTTTAAGCAACAAAAAGTAAAGAAGGAAGGAAGAATTGGTATTTTGTTTTTTAAAAGCAGCATAATAATCCTATTTCTAAATTTTTCTGATAGTATTCTTTTTTTTTTAGCTTTTATACTTCCTTTTTTTTTTCTTCCCAAAGATTTTATTTACCTCTTTGACAGAGAGAGACACAGTGAGAGAGGGAACACAAGCAGGGGGAGTGAATGACAGAGAAGCAGGCTACCTGCTGAGCTGGGCGCCCATTGCGGGATTTGATCCCAGGGTCCTGGGATCATGACGTGAGCTGAAGGTGGACGCTTAACAACTGAGCCACCCAGGTGCCCCTAACTAAATATAGTTAAAGGTAAAATTTTTCTTTTGTAAACTTGTCCTAATAAAGCACAAAATCACAACGGAAAAGATTTGTAAATTTGCATAAATTTTAAATATTTTTAACACACATAATGGTAAAAACAGGGGAAAAAACCAAGGGAAATATTTGCCATACAACTGCTATCTTTACAACATAAAAAATTCATACAAATCAATAAAAACTTTGAACAATAGAAAAATAAGCAAAGGACATGACAATCAGTTTATAAAAGGAAAAATACAAATAACTTATCAGTCTTTTGTACATTAAAATTTTCACTCAGTAGGGACTCCTGGGTTGCTCAGTCTGTTAAGTGTCTACCTTTGGCTCAGATCATGATCCCAGGGCCTTGGGGTCTTGAGATCAAGCCCCCTCATCAGCCTTCCTGCTCAGTGAGAAATCTGTTTGTTGCTCTCTCTCTGGCACTCCCTCCCCACCCCGTCCCCCTTCCCCCCCTCCTGTGCTCTCTCTCACACCAGTCTCTTGATTTTATTTATTTATTTGAGAGCATGCAATCATGAGAAGGGAAGAAGGGCAGAGGGAGAAACACTCCCTACTGAGCAGGGAGCTGGATGCAGGACTCTATGCTATGACCCTAGGACAATAACCTGAGCCAAAGGCAGATGCTTAACCAACTGAGCCACCCAAGTACCCATATAAATAAATGAAATCTTAAAATAAAAATAATAAATTGTTCACCTAGCAACAAATATTTAAAGAGTACATACTATCTGGCCAAACACTGACTTCAACACAAAGGCTACATCACTGGACAAAACAGACAAAAATATTTGTCCTAGTTGAGCATATGTTTTAGTGTAGGTTAGAGGGAGAAAGGCAAAACAAAGAGGACAGTTTTACAGTGTATTTGAAGGTAATGAGTACTCTCACATAAATCATGAACTAAGATAAAGAAGGTTTTTTGTTTTAACATTTTATTTATTTGAGAGAGAGAGAGAGAGAGAGAGAGTGAGAGAGAAAGAGTGCAAGAAGGGGAGGGTCAGAGGGAGAAGCAGACTCCCTGCTGAGCAGAGAGCCTGATGCAGGACTCCATCCCAGGACCCTGAGATCATGACCTGAGTGGAAGGCAGTCACTTAACCAACTGAGCCACCCAGGCGCCCAAAAGATAAAGAATGTTTTATATAGATTTGCTATTTAAGCTCTCACTGAGAAAGTCACTTTCAGCAAAGACATGTAGGAAATAAGGGAACTGGCTGTGTAGATATCCTTGGGGAAAGGCAAAGAGAACATCAAGTGCAAAGTTCCTGAGGTAGGAATGCGCTGGCATATTTGAATAAGAGCAAAGAGGCCAGTGTGTCTCAGCAGGCAATTGGAAGAGAAAGTTGTAGGAATTTCAGTACAAAGGGTAACAGGGAGAAAGCTTAGAGTTCCTATAATGCCATAAGAGTACTTATAGGGGCTTTGATTTTATTTTTTTACTCTGAGATGAATGATGACTGGAGATTTTAAGCAAATGAATGGCATGATTTGACTTACTTTTTTTTTTTTAAGATTTTATTTATTTATTTGACAGACAGAGACCACAAGTAGGCAGAGAGGCAGAGAGAGGGGGAAGCAGGCTCCCTGCTGAGCAGAGAGCCTGATGTGGGCCTCAATCCCAGGACCCTGAGATCATGACCTGAGCCGAAGGGAAGGCAGAGGCTTAACCCACTGAGCCACCCAGGCACCCCTTGACTTTTTTAAAGGACTCCCTTGGTTGCTGGGTAGAGAATAGAGTGTTAAGACTTATGAAAACTCAAGCAAATGAAAACAAGGTACATTTTCCACCCATGAAATTGTCAAGATCTTACAAGGTGCCTGGGTGGCTGGGTTAAGCATCTGACTTTGGTTCAGGTCATGATCCCAGGGTCCTGGGATCTAGCCCAGTGTCAGGCTCCCCGCTCAGTAGGGAGTC